CTCTTTAGCCTGGAAAAGCGCAGGCTCAGGGGTGATCTGATGGCCACCTATAAGTTTATCAGGGGTGACCACCAGTATCTGGGGGAATGTTTGTTCACCAGAGCGCCCCTAGGGATGACGACTAGGTCGAACGGTTATAAACTACTGCAAGACCGTTTCAGGCTGGACATAAGGAAGAATTTCTTTAATGAGCCCCCAAGGTCTGGAATAGCCTGCCATTGGGGGTGGTTCAAGCACCTACAATGAACACCTTCAAGAGAAATTTTGATGCTTATCTTGCTGGGATCCTATGACCCCAGCTGACTTCCTGCCCTTTGGGCAGGGGGCTGGACTTGATGATCTTCCAAGGTCCCTTCCAGCCCTAATGTCTATGAAATCTATGAAATCTTCCAGGTCATTGATGAAGACATTGAACAAAACCCACCCCAGGGACACTCTACTTGATACCAGCTGCCAACTAGACATCAAACTAGTGATTACTACTCTCTGAGCCAGAAACTCCAGCCAGTTTTATGTCTTCCTTACAGTCCGTTCATCCAGCCCATACTTTCTTAGCTTGCCTGGGAGTATGTTGTGGGAGACTATATCAAAAGCCTTGCTAAAATCAAGGTACGCCATATCCATTGGTCTCCCTGCATCCACAGAGCCAGTCACCTCATCATAAATGGCAGTCAGGTTGGTCAGGCTTGACTTTCATAGTTTCATAGTTACAGGGTCGGAAGGGACCTAATAGATCTTCTAGCCCGACCCCCCGCCAGGGCGGGAGAACAACCCAAAAAAAAAACACCCTAAAAACAAAAACGGGACTCAAATGAGTCCAGCCAGGTAAGTATCCAGCCTCTTCTTAAAGATCCCCAGGGTAGGGGCCAGCACCACCTCCCTTGGAAGTTGGTTCCAGCTCCTAGCTGCCCTAACTGTGAAGTAGTTTGCCCTTGGTGAATTCATGCTGACAGTTTCTAACCAGCTTTTCTCCTCTGAGTGCTTAGAAATGGATTCCCTGTGGATCTGCTCCATGATTTTTCCAGGGACTGAGGTGAGGCTAACTGGTCTGTAGTTCCCTGGATCCTCCTTCTTCCCTTTCTTCAAGTTGAGCACTATGTTTGCCCATTTCTAATCATCCAGGACCTCTCTTTATCACCGTGAGTTTTCAAAGATGATGGCCAGCGGATCTGCAACTGCATCATTCGACTCCCTCAGCACCCTTGGGTTCATCCCATCCTGCCCCATGGACTTGTATCTGTCCAGCTTTTCTAAGTAGTCCCTAACCTGTTCTTTCACCACTGAGGGCTGCTCACCTCCTCCCATAGGCTATGGAAGGCCAGGGTTAATGGGACTTA